TCTTATGAAGTGTAACTTTAGACAACTCGCATGATCTCACTAAGCCTCACTTTCCTCCTCTGTAAAATGGGGAGAATAAAAGTATGTCTTGGTGTGGTTTTGAGTGTTACAGTAATCAATGTAAATGCATTCAGAGCTGTATTTACAGAGTGTGATGTGGTAAAATGCACTCAGTATTTCTCAGCTTCTATTGTGCCCATTCCGATAGCCGCAGAAATGGGGACTTCTGCCCCTCACATTCCCAGGACCGCGACCAAGTCTCCTGGAATCGTCGAAGGTGGTCCTTGTAACCTGCAGCATGCACTCTGATGGGGCTGGTGGTGGGGGCCCCGAGGAGCTTGGAAGTGGGGGGGGAGATGGAAGTCAGTGGAGGATGTAGGGGCCAGGGCTGGTGAAGGGATGGTAAGATACAGACAGGGGCTGCGATTTCATAGGCCTGGGGCTGGGAGGGATGCTGGGGTGGAGGGTGCAGTGGGACACTGCGGCTAGCCACCCCCTCTTTTCCTCCTATTGCTTCCCTGCCCCCTCACCTCTGCACTATAAATGTGGGAGAAAGGGCAGCGAGGCATCCCAGCTCTGTGGCCTTGTGAAGTTTCTCCCCATCTTTCCTTTCTTTCTCCCCCCTTCTTGGCTTTCTTAGCCCTCTGCTACCTGCTGAGCCAGGACCAAGAGGAGGAAGTCAGAGGCTATATAGAGGGGCTGCACAGGGCTGGGCAGCAGGCCAGAAGCCCCCTGGCCACCTGGAGGGGCCCCTGTGGCAGCCTGGCCAAAACTGGGCTCCCTAGGAGGAGGTAGAGAGATACCCTGCGGGTGCGTATATATAGAACCTATTGGGAAAAGAACTTCTTTGTCAGGTTCGCCGTCTTTTATTGAAATTGATGTTTTGACTTTAAACAAAACAGCAAACACCATACCCATTTCTCAAAGGACAGTTTTGTGAAATATATCCTATAAAGTGTAATATGAAGACTAAAGTCCTAGCCAACAGCTTGACTCAGAATTACGAGAATTTCCATGCTGAAAGGAGACTTGAAGGCCATTTGGTCCACCCACATCATTGCACAGATGGGGAAACTGGGGCCCGTGGGTGACGTGCTTGTCACAGCCACATGGCTAGTTGGCAGGGTCAAAACAAGGACACATGTCCTAGCTTTCAGAAAAGTACTGTCTCCTGTTAGATAGAGATGATGGATGGGTGGATGGGTGGATTGATGGAAAGATAGGTAGGTAGATAGATAGATGACAGATAGGCAAACTAAGAAGGTATGTGTGTATATATTCTGTCTACATGTATCAGGAGGAGAGAAGCAGCCATAATGCAGTTTTACATTTCAATTCCATATGTGCCGGGATTTCCAATGCAGTCAGAACCTGTGGGATTTCAGTGGATCAAGATTAATAAGAGCTGTGTTATAGCAGCCTTATTCTTGAGCTCTTGGACCCTTTTCTGTATTCCACTCAGCTTATTGAAATACCTTGCAAGGAGTGTTAGCATAACACCTATAGGCACTGGGATGTTCCCTGGAACCATGATCTGGGGCTGGAGGTTTGGCTGTAGTGAGCAAGCCTAGTGCCTTTCTGCTGCTTCCACAACAGCCCAGTGTCCCTGCAGGCATCTGAACTGGCTCTCGTGTGAGCAAACACTCTGCTGGAAAATTAGAACTGTGTCACGTGTGTCTCTCAGAAGCTTTTGGAAAGATCACTGAGATATGATCTATACAATTTTTAGATGGAAGACTCTGTAAGCTCCTCATATCATTATTTAGCATTATTAATGTTGATGGTAATTCTATGACAAAATTATAGTTATTAGGCATGTGCTGCCACCATTATACCATTATCATTAATTACAATAATTTAAGAAACTGAGGAATTACATAATGCTGGTTTATCTTGTGACCAGATATTTTTCTATCTTTTGGCAAACCAGGGAGAGACATTCTCCTGGTAAAGGTGAGAAATTCTAAAAGTAAGCCGAAGCAGGTGTCTGAAGAGTGGGTGCAGTCCCCCTACCTCCCTCCTGCCTTCCTGAAACCTCAGAGGAAGGCTAGGTGAGTGCCTCCAAGAAGCCTTCTTCCCAAGGCTGCTCGGAAAATCTTTTCCCTAAAGGGCTCTTCCCATGTCATAAATTGAGCATAAATTTTATGTGGTGGCTCAGATGGTAAAGAATCTGCCTGCAATGCAGGAGATGCAGGTTCGATCCCTGGGTCAGGAAAATCCCCTGGAGAAGGGCATGGCTATGCAGTCTAGTATTTTTGCCTGGAGAATGCCTTGAACAGAGGAGCCTGGCAAACTACAGTCCGTGGGGTCACAAAGAGACACGACTGCGTGACTAACACAAATTGTACATGGTGGAGATTTGCTCTCAAAGCAAGTGGCCTGGAAAAACTCTTTTCTTTTCACTACAATGAGAGTCTTTGTTTTCCATTCAGAAGAGATCTAAAGACCTTTTGACATCTTGGTATTCTGTTTCTTCTTGTTCTGGAAAACCCTCATCTGCTCCCAGATAAATGACATATCTCTTGATGAACCCAAGTCACTTCAGTAGGCAGTCACTTGAATGGGATTTTATTGTCCTTTCCAATTAGGGCTGCACTTTTAGTCATTCTAGCTCTCATAAATGATTGAATTTTTTTTTTTTTTACATATTCAGAAGGAATCTACATTTAAGAATCTACCTTAAGTAACTGAGTATCTTTATTGTTTTCTGGGAAAATGTCTGAAAAAAAATAGCAAGGCAAATATAATAAATCTAGTAGAATTTTATGACCTTAATGGACTCCAAACCCCTTGTAATACCTCCCAGATTTCTTGTTTAAAAAATTGTTTAATCAATGGTTTACTCTCATCCATATTTAGCCTAAAATATCTGCAAAATCACAAACCAGTGCTAACTTAAGTTCCACATTTATAGGTACTGGTTCCATGAATGAACCAGCCAGCACATTCCAACACTAAAAAGCTTTTCCCAATTTACAAGCAATTTAAGTTAATGAATGGAATGCTTGAAGTTTTTTCTCACATTAAGCATGCCTAAATCTTTGACTTTCTTATACCTATCGTAATCTAGGGAAAGTGTCATTTTGTGCAAATTTAGAATGTTCTATTTAGTTGATTTAATTACGTGCAGTACTTTAAGTAGTACTTAAGTACTGCTGTGGCACTGTGGGCAGCACCTCTGTGAACATGAATGTACTGTTTTTGTTTTTTGCATGCCCTTCCCCCGTGTCTTTTGTTATACTTGGATGGGACTCCAGTGGAACTCTGAACCTACTTAAACTCTCTACCACTCAATAAATGTTGACAATTACTTGTCATCCCCACAGGAATTGTATCTTGCAGATTCCCTTAGAGCTTTTTATTATCACACCCCCCCCTTAAGTTTTCAGTTTTCTCAAATACGGTTAAATTACTCATAGGGAGTGAAACCAACATAATTCTGAATTTATATGAATTTGACTACTCTAGGTGCCACCTGTAAGTGGAATCATACAATATTTGTCCTTGTGTGAGTGGCTTATTTCACTTAGCATAACGGCTTAGAGGTTCATCCCCATGATGTAGCATTGTCAGATTTCTCTTCTCTCTTAAGGCTGAGGAATATCCCATTGTATGTAGATAAATGTTGATTTATCCATTCATCTGCCAGTGGGCACGGGGGTTGCTCCCGGCTTTTGGCTACTGTGAGCAGCACCTCTGTGAACATGAATGTACTGTTTTTGTTTTTTGCACATCCTTGCCCTGTGTCTTTTGTTATACTTGGATGGGACTCCAGTGAAACTCTTTGAACCTTTAGAGGAATTGAATCAAAGAGCTAAGCAACTCATTTGATGAATGTAAGACTTTAGGGTAGGTGTGTGAGACAGCACAGGAGGTGTTCGGCGAGGGGGAATAATAAGAGAATACCATTGTTATCCAACCTAAAGGGACTTCTAACTTGCAAATAATTACTTTATTTTATATTTATAATTTTATTTATGTATTTATTTTTGGTTGTGCTGGATCTTCATTGCTGTGCGAGCTTTTCTCTAGTTGGCGAGTGCGGGTTACTCTCTAGTTGCACCGCACGGGCTGTTCATTGCAATGGCTGCTCTTGTTTCAGAGTATGGGTTCTAGGGTGCTCAGGCACATGGACTCCCGAGCTTTAGAACACATGCTCAATAGTTGAGTCGTGCAGGATCTTTTTGTTGCGATACACAGACTCTCTAGTTGCGAGGGCTCAATAATCGTGGCACTTGGATTTAGTTCCTCCAAGGCACATGGAATCTTCCTGAACCAGGGGTTGAACCCACGTCCCTTTCATTGCAAGGTGGATTCTTGCATGGAGGCGTTGACTGAGAGGTCACCTCAGGAATGAGCTGGTGGGGCACGTGTTCGAGTGCTTGCCCAAATAAAGAAGACTTGCCTAGGTCTGTACCAAGAATAAGTTTACTTTTAACTCCCGTCCCCTGCCCTATGTACACCTTCAGTGCTGAGCACTGAAACCTGATGTTCATGGGAAGAATCCTGAAATTCTTTCTTAATCGCCAATGAAAGAACACATCCTGTGTTCTACTTTTTGTTGTTGTTGTTCAGTCACTAACTTGTGTCCAACTCTTTGTGACCCCATGGACTGCAGCACACCAGGCTTCCCTGTCCTCCACGATCTTCCGGAGTTTGCTCAAATTCATGTCCGTTGAGTTGGTGATGCTTTCTAGCCATCTCTTCCTCTGTCACCCTCTTCTCCTCCTGCCCTCAATCTTTCCCAGTATCAGGCATCTTTCCAGTGAGTTGACTCTTCGCATCAGGTGGCTAAAGTATTGGAGCTTCAGCATCAGTACTTCCAGTGAATATGCAGGGTTGATTTCCTTTAGGATTGACTGGTTTGATCTCCTCATAGCCCCTGTGTTCCACTTACCTGGTCCTATTGCAGAGGTTATCATGAGAGGCCCTTCCTGAACACCGCTGTGTGTTGATCTTCAGGCAACTGAATCACACACTGATGTGCTTTTCTGTTCCAGGACGTGGGAAGAAGGCAAGGTGCTCATCTTCGATGACTCCTTTGAACACGAGGTGTGGCAGGATGCTACGTCTTTCCGGCTCATCTTCATTGTGGATGTGTGGCACCCCGAGCTGACACCCCATCAGAGACGCAGCCTTCCTGCCATTTAGCATTCTGTGCAGGCTCAGGACATGCTGGAGAGAGGCCACCTTTTTGGTTCGGTCTCCTTGGATGTGGGCATAGACCTTCAAACACCACAGCCCTTAATTCTCTTGATTTGCAGCCTGAAAAATTCTAAACCTCCTCCCAGGGATGGAAAACACTAAAGGGAATATCTGCCTCATTGCAATTCTTATAGAAAATACCTGCCATATTTCATCCATGACAGCCCCCATCTGATGCCTGGATTCCAGGTGAACTCATGATAGCTTCTACCTTGCAGGCCAAAGATATTTTTTTCTCTTATAGGCAAAATCAGTATAAATGAGAATACGTGTAGAAACTGTGAATGGATTGCTTTAGTTTGTAATTTTTCTATGCAACTATATTTTTCTAGGGTAGTTGGATGGTTTATCATCACACATCACTACTTTTTTGTTGGGTTTAATGACAAGCTGCATAAATACTTCTGTTTAATGGTAACTTTCCTGATGAACTCAGACTTCCCTATTTTAATTATTTTTAGTAAAAGGCACTCATAAAAAATTATATTTTCCTAATACAAAGCAGAAAGACATAATTATGCCAATGTCTTATGAACGATACTGCTCCTCACCCATTGAGTCTCTGATTTTTTGTCTTCGCTAAGAGCTGGTGTCTTGATTTTCCTTCTCACTCTGTGAATGGCAGAAATACTGTCAAAAATGGTATTTCTTTCTAAGAGGAACTTTTTACACTGAAAAAGGACCTGGAGTCATTTTATATTGAGTTATAACAATGACGCATGTAAATTTTTTTAATGACAAATATCAGACATTGTGGGGAAGAAAACAAAAATTTCTCCAAGTGAGAATTTTCTCTTGGGGTCAGCTCAATTGCGGGGCTGCTAGGATCTCTGACTTCTGGCCCCTTTGCATCTATGAAGCAGGGCTGGAATCCAGAGTGTCTTCTACTGTGGATTCTTGTGAATGAGAAGGTCCTTGAAAGGATTCATATCACAACTTTGTAAAATTAAGAAGGATGACAGAGTGGAAGGCCAAAAATGCCAGGATGTCTGTCCTGGGTATAGGATGTCAAAACTGTTTCCTCTTTACAGTTGTTTGGAGGACTCTGACATCTCCCTGGCTTGAGAAACTTCTGCCATTTAAAATTCACTTTGAGGTGTCAGTTATTATTGATAGCTTGGTTTTAAATTTTGCCATTGCTTAGAAAGAACAGTTGCCTACTTGTTCCAAAGCTGACAGCATCATTAATTTAGTGGAATATTAATGCATTAAATTTTGTGTGTTTTAAACCAAAGCTAACTAGAAATGTTAGCTATAAGAATGTAATGATATTCATGCACTGAATTTTAAGCCAATATGAACAAAAATGCTAAAGAAATGACACACAGGTTACCATGCACAGGTTTTCTTTTCTATTGAAGGACAAAGAAGGATGCTTTCTTTATATTATTTTCTTATTGGACCGCTTTTGCTTGTCCTTAAGGATATTAGCTTCCCTTTGAAGAGTTGCAAAATATTTGTCTTGTTTCCTGCTGTTTTGCCAATGCTGAAAAATCTGTCTAAAATAGATGAAGAAGCATTTGAGGAAAAATACCAGAGTGAACTACCAAAGTCTGGAAGGAAAAGCAAACACTTGAAAAATAAAAAGGCATTTGTGTCCTTCAGTATTTATTGAACAGAAGAAAGGACCGACAAAGGACAATGCAATCTAGTGCTCCCGTGGCGACATCCATGTCACTTACTGAATTTGGTTCCTGTATGTATATTGCATACACATAAAGAAATTCAAAGTAGCAGTTGTCACTGTTGAACCATCATCTTACATTCATTTAATGAAATCATGGAATAGAGTTAAAAACAAACTCTTAACTTAATAATTATTATATGGTATTTAAAATCAGGTCACTACAGTAGGATTCTAAATATTGCCAATTGGAAAGCCAGAATTATTATTACTGTTGCAAAGTGTTTGGCAATAATTGACTCCAGTAGCATTTTAAACACTTGGATCCCACAACTGTTTCATAAACTCAAGTAATAAAATGGGTTTTCTAATTTGCTTTAAGTCTTCATCTTTCTTCCCTATGTTGTATTATATAAGAAAAGTCATTGCATTGATAGAATTATTTCAGTATTAGTATTTTGTTATTTGAAGTGTTTACACAAAATGAATTGGTTTTATTTATACTGTGATGCAATTGATTGGGAAATATTTTAAATTCTATTTCAATTTTATTTCAAGAGTGGAATACAATAATCACTTCTATTATCATTTTCTACCAGTAGAAAAAAAATTAAAACACTAGATCTATTGAGAAAGAGATGTGATAATTTGTTAAAATTAGTAATAATACCTGCTGAGGATGATTATGGCCAATTGAATCACCTCTTTTCTTTGAATTTTTTTAGCCAACAAATTGACCCTCCCAAGTACTTACAATCTAAAATCATGTTTTACTGCTCATTATCAACTATTAAGTATTTTTTCTTTGACATTGAGCACCAACTGGTCATAGTAATGAAGGCCCATGTCATGCAAATGGCTGGGAGAATAAGAGATACAGCTAAAAACATACAACTGGTTTGGGGAAACATGGCACATGTAAGGATATCATATGCTATGATATCTGTTTATTTTTATCTAGTTTCCTTTTGAATGGATAGCTGGGGACTCCATTTCTAAGGAAAATAAACAAAGAAATAAAATGATCTTTGGCATTTCATCCTGCATTCCAAGTCTTCTCTTATTTTCAGTTCTTGTATATTTAGCCATCCTTAAAGATCTTCCTCCATGTTTGATACCTACCCCCTTAACAACAGCCAGGTCCATCCTTTGCACCTTTAACTGATTGCAGGAGGGAGGTGGGGGGACGTAGTGGGTGTGTAATGCTTTTGTAGCATTTTTCTTGCCATAGTGACCTAAGTGAGGCAACTTGAAAAGATTCATTAATCACTGACATGTATTTTCAACATAACCCCCTACTCTCTGGAGACATACATTCCTTGTGGGAAGCCACATCGCTAAGATGAAATAGTCATATCTCAATTTGTGTGTCTTTGTTTCACATTAGCTCATGATAATCAGCTGGTGGCCTGATCAAAGATGTTACATCAAAATCATTTTTGCAGGATATCAAAATAAACAGACTCTGCGAATAGCCAGACCTATAAGAGCACGCTCTTAGGCTGAACAATTTGAAATTGGATGCTGGTGATGAGGTCAAAGAAAATAACTTGATGTAGGAATGAAGATTACTGGAGATACTATTGTCTTGGGGCTTTGCACTACATTAAACTTGAAAATTGTGTCTGCACAGTTTAAATTCTTATGGATCTCTTGGAAATGCACTTAATTTTAAACTGCAAAAACTGGAGAGCATCTCTTCAAAGCCTCAGAAAAATCTTTGTCCTAATGAGGTGTGTGCCTCAAATTTAGTTTTTCTCTTTTCAATTCATTTAATACCATAAATATGGGGTGGGGGGAGTCTTATTTCCATGACTACCTTGCTTCATCTTCCAATTCCATCACTGAAAAACAAAAATGCATCTCTCAAGTCTTTGTTCAACTTTGGCTGCTCAGACCAATGGCTGGTGACAGTCATTACTGGGTGGCAGGAGAGAAGGCCCTTGTGTCGAGCCGAACGCATGAGTTGTGTGGTCAGTTTCACATGTGCTTCCTGGTGGCTGATACCACTGAGAGTTGGCGACGTCGGGAGCACAGGGTGGCTCGGGGTTCAGTCGAGAGCCAGGAGTGGCTGGGTATTCTCATTCTCTCCCTTGTCCTCATGTTTCAGGGTCCCAGCTTCTACCACAGACTGAGATCTAATAATAGGAAAAGGAAAAAGATGTGATTACAGACAATCCATGGTACTAGCCATTTTTGGAATCTTGGAGGGCGTTTAGACTTCATGGATCCCTGATTAACCAAGACGCTCCTCTATACAACTTCTCCCCCTTGTGTATCTCTATTTTCCATGCTTTTGTGTCTTCTACATCATGTTTTTAGGGAACCAGGCATCTTGGAATTTTCTTTACAGGAATCTCCTTTTGATAAAACACACACATGTTCTAGCCACAATTCTGCCCCTTTGTCTAGACACTCTGTGGATCTTGAGGTGTATAAAGTATCATAAATTTTGCTGAATTTTTAATGTTTCAAAATACTTTTGAGAGTCTTTGTTTCTCAAGGTCATAGGAAACTATCATATATGATGTTAATAGCACAAGATGTAGAATCAGGCTGTAAATGTATCCCGGACTCCTTAATGAGTGAGGAGTCTTGGGGAAGTTCTTAGGACTCTGAACCTTGGTTCTCTCATCTGTAAAACAAAGCTATTACCTGTTACCTGTAGGTAGCTATTACCTACCTCCCAGAGTTGTTAAGAAGGACTAAAACTAATATTATACATAAAGCATTTAGCATGTAATTGTAGTCAAAATTTATGGAGCACTCTATTATTACCAATATTGCAATAATGTCAGTGATCTTTAGTTTCTGATGTGTCCTTTTATACTGGAGTAATAATTTCTTGTGTTTATAACCCAGATTGAAATTATTTTCCAGGTTTATAGAGAGAAGATTATAAGAGCTATGCACACAGTAAACATTCAATCAATGTTCATATACTAAAAAGAAAAATCCACTCAAAGCATTAAGAAAATGATTGAAGTGGGTTATTCAAATAAGCAAGACCTACATGTAAATGCAGTAAATGGGTAACTCAGTAAACCTGAGTTTCCCAAACTCTTCACATTCTGAGTCTTCGGGACCATCCCTTGACTAACTCTTTTAAACCCCTGGAGTATCCTGCCTGATAAAGTGTCTTTGTATACTTGAGGCTTTGGGCCATGCCACATGGTTTATTTTAACAAGGTGATTTATGATGAATGTCTATTTTTATATGCCTGGACTTTGGGAGACATCCTTTCAGTCTGACCTCCTGTTGGGGGAGGTGGAGGAGCTGAAGACCAAGTAGCTAAGGTCAGTCCCACATGCTCTGCTTGCCTGTGCGACAGACCTCCCCATACTTCTCTTTCCCCAAAAAACCTGGATCCCAAGACATGGGTGAGTTTCTCTGGTTGACAACACTTTGCCTGTGTTGTCTGTCACATGTCATTGCTGAGTAAATTGAGATCTGTCTGTGACTCCAGTGGGAGGAAAACTGGAAGCTTGCAACTGCTCCAGAGTACCTAGACTCCACCCAATACACCTTTTTCCTTTGCTGACTTTGATCTGTATTCTTTTGCTGTAATAAACCATAACTGTGAGTATAACCACATTTCTAGGTCCTGTGAGTCCTTCAAGCAGATGATCACATCTAAGGGTGGTCTTGAGGGCCTCAGGCACAATATATAGCACTAATGTTTGTTGTCTGAGCAGCTGATATAGTTGTAACCTCTTTACATGTATGAAGTTACTTCATTTTCATACCCCTAAGGAGTGGTGCTATTATTGCTTCCATTTTGGGGTGGGAAAAAACCAAGGGACCAAAAAAAAAGAAAAAGAAGTAACATAGGAAAGGCAACACAAATAGAGAATGGAGAACAAGACAGGTTTATCACCATCACAGTATTCCTTGGTCTGCCTAACACTGCAACGATATTTAGCTACTCTGAATTTCAATCTAGTTCAACTTTAGGTGCAAAGCCTAACCTTTAAAAGTGAAGTGGATTTGATTGCTTCTGGTACAGGGCAGAGAAGCTCCAGATAGTAGTATATTTCAGCTGTTTTATACATTGCCTACATATTTCTCTCTTTGCTTTAGTTAAAGGCTGTGTGTGTGGTGTGTGCATGTGCATACACACTCCTACACAAGTGTAGCAGGGTGGGCAGTGGGGGTAATAGATTTATATAAGAAGCAGAAAAGCCAAAAACCGAGAAGGTTTTAAAACAAACTAAAACTGAAAAACAGGAATACAACTGCCCGTACAGGCCACCTCCATTTAGCACCTTGGACAGCTGCCTAACCGCTTTGCCCTTCAGGCCCTGGTGAAGATGGAGGATGTTAATGGCCAGTCCACTTTAGAGACACTAAGCTGTATTTCTCTTCTTTCATGCCACTTGGCTTTGTTTTACAACATGGCAAGAGAATCACAGCCCCAGAATTAGAAAGGACCTTAGAGACCCACTAGATAAACCCACTAGGAAATATTAAGTAAGGTGCCATGCAGTTTCCTGTTGAATATATCTGACTTTTCCTCTGTACTCCTAGAGGAGCAACTCTGCTAGAAAGCTTTTTCTTACAATGAACTAAAACCTGTGTTTTTGCGACTTTTATATACTGTTCCTGGTTTTGTCTGCTGGAATCACCAGAATATGTATAATCCATCCGATCCACATAACAGCCCTTAAAATATTTGTTGAGTACCCTCCAGCCCTCTCTCTGCTCCCACTAAAACTAACCAAATTCCTCTTTAGCCTTCAAGATTTCTAGAACTAAACTACTCCCCTGCATCTCTTCATCAACTGCTTGCCTACAGGATGTCACTTCAAAAAAGAATGAAATTATTGCTTCCTTCTTTTTCTTTTTTGTATGCTTCTCTTGAAGCATAGAAAATGCACCTAAAATTGCCTTAGCCTTTCTGGAACTCACTTAATAAAGCCAAGGGAAATTTTAGCTATATTTACATGTGCTGCTGTTAAGTCATTTCTCTCCCATCTTGAAAGTGCATGGTTGAATATTTCATCTTTTTAAATTTGGCTCATATTACCACTGTATCTCTATCCTTTTGGATCTAGAAATGTGTTACCCATCCAAATTATTGTCTGTGATTTTCATGAGTAGTGGATTTGTTTTTAAACTTTCCCTTCGCCTGTTTTGGAAGCCACCATGGGAAAAAAAAAAATCAACAAATTCTCAAATATTGAACTTTCAAACAAAAATCACTTATTGCCACTAACTCATGGTAATAAAGGCTTCCCTGGTGGCTGAGCAGTAAAGAATCCACCAGCAAATGCAGGAGACGCAGAGACCTGGGTTCAATTCCTGGATCAGGAAGATCCCCTGAAGGAGGAAACGGCAACCCACTCAAGTGTTCTTGCCTGGAAAATCCCATGGACAGATAAGCCTGGCGGGCTACAGTCCATGGAGTCATAAAGAGTCAGACACGACTGAGTGACTAAACAACAAAAAACAACACTGCAAAGGAAACAAGGCATAAATGACACAACGGTTATGTGCTCTTTGATATAAGAGTTTTCAGACCCTTTAGACCAAATAATTAGCATGAAGTGAATAAAGTTAAAGAGTTAAATGGCTAAGGATAGTTCATGTATGGTAAGAAATGTTTGTGAATGTCTCCTGCCATAGCTAGGGACTGTGAGAACATGTTCAGAAATACTCATTCTTTAGTGGAAATACTGCTTTAATTATGCAGACCTAGACTATAAGAAATGGAACTTGAAGTGGTCCATTTTCAGCACAAAGTAGCTGGCCTTGGGTGGAGAATTATTAACAAACAGTTTTCCACTCACAGCTGGCTAGTTTCATCTTGGAAAATTACTGGCAAGCTAGTCTTGCCTAACAGCTTACCCATGGACCATCCCTAAGCTAACAGGATGTTTGGGAAGGGATAAACTAAAGTTCTTTTGAGAAATGTGGACTTAGGATGGGAAGGGAGAAGAAAGAATACCCTATGAGACTTAGGTGATGTCCTAGAAGATTATAACCCCTTAGTACTAAGCCAATGAGGGACTAGGGATGGATCTGCTTGCCAGGGAATAAAAGTATTTGCTGTAACTGTCCCGGGTATGCCTGCCCACCAGACACCTGATCTTGTAAGACTGTCATTTAGTCTCCCTTTCACTGTTTTGACACACTGCTTTGTGTCTCTGAGTTCATCCCTTGGTTTTGGGCAAGTGAACATGTTTCTCACATAGACCCATAGATAGGTATGGGGTCACTGTGATCAACACTCTGAGAACAGGGTATTGGGGTGGGAAGCAGGCATCATCTCTTTTCATCTCTAAAGAAAAAGAAGAGAGGAAAAGCTATCATTCACACAGAGACATCATTCACAGGCCTCATTTGGGTCCCTCTTCCCTTCACTTGGCATCAAATTTGGATCTGTTGACTTAAAAAATATTCACAACTTAAAAGTTAAGAGTTATGTTTTATTCAGCAGGGAATTTTTAGGACTTCAAGCCCGGGAGGCAGCATCTCAAGTAACCCTGAGAGAACTGCTTCAAGGAGGTGGTGGGGGTGGGGGGTCAGCACGGAGCCAGAGTATATACAATTTTTGCAACAAAGGGCAGGTAGTCTGAATGTCAAAAAGATGATTGTTAACTAAAGAAAACTGAATATCTCAACCCAAGGAATTTAGTGCTTTTCTACGTGTGGGAAAATGCAAGAGTCTGGACTCACTGAAGTCATTCTTTTGATATGCACCTCAGGTGTCTCAGGCGGTTTCCTGGGTTTTCATACCCTGAGTTTCCCCAGGGCTCATCATAGGAAGTGGCTGCAGTCTGATGTTTGCTAGATGGCGGGTAGTCATTCCTTCCTGAGTTCCTTCAGGGCTCACCAGCTCACTGATGATGACTGTGATATCCTTTGTTTACTGATATGGCAGAAAACATTCCATTTCTGAGGTCTATGTGGAATTTTTTTAATCCTTGTGCTGACAGTGGGGACTCGGGATGCTAGCTTTCTTATCTCAGCCAATAAACTGTCTTGGCCGAGTGGTGGGTAACAGCTGAACAGCTCTCAAGCACCGAGCATGAGAAACCACAGTTTTTTTTTTTTCTCTTGTTTGCATTTTCCCTGATTGAGAAGGCGACCAGAGCATCTTTACTTTCAGCGTGACAGAATTCCATTTACCTGGTC